AGCAAGCACGATCATGCCAGAGTAGCTGTGGCTTAACTACCTCTGTAATTCTGATTCCACGAGTTTAGAACTCAGTATTTCAGGTGAGCAAATGAGCAGATTCTTACCTGTATATAATGAAAGGAGGAATTTGCTAACCAAATCAACAGTGCAAAGAAGGTCCAGGACGACTTGGTAGCACTATTGAAAAATAAATAGTTCTGAGCACTTAAAACTACTTGTTTTGAAACATTAATGTGATAATGACAAAAGTCTTTGTGTGTCCCGAGAAGAGTTTTTGATGTATGTACAAGTCCACAGCTTACAAACTCTAATTCTGAATGGGCACTGACTTTCCCTATAATAAATCAGCAAAGGTTTACAATATTTATTATTCATCTTTAATTACGTGAGATGTGAAAAGAGTTTATTTTTTACTTTAATTTCTATCAAGAACTAGGACTCTTTTTTATGTTTATTTATTTCTGAGAGAGAGAGAGAGAGAGAGAGAAAGCACAGAAGCTGGGAAGAGGCAAAGAGAGAGGGAGACACAGAATCTGAAGCAGGCTCCAGACTCTGAGCTGTCAGTACAGAGCCCAATGTGGGGCTCGAACCCATGAACCATGAGATCATGACCTGAGCTGAAGTCTGACATTCAACTGACTGAGCCACCTAGGCGCCCCAATAACTAGGACTCTTAATTCTCAAAAACAACACCTCAGAAACGGATCAAGAGAGGGGATGTGGCAACATTTAATCAGTTGTAAAATCCATTAAAAAATACATTATTATCTCTAAAGCTAGGAATCCCTCTACTAAAGAAAAAAAAGACCATGAAAGCATTTAGAGTTTTTGCTATTTTTATTTAGGCTATTTGAAAAAGGAATTAGGTTTTTGTAAACTTTAAACGGGTGGCTTTTGTAAACTTTAATGCAATATCTAAATGGAAGGGAATCTTATTTATTCTTCATTCTGCTGGTCTACTGTGGGTGTAATGCCTACTTAAAACAAGCAAATATCAACTAAGACTATGAATTCTTTCTCTCAAACACTTAAATTCCTGACACACCTTGAATTCTAATTTATT